AGGGTCAGAGTTCAGTGGTGCGTGGGGCAAAAGAGGGGAGGGGGGGCAAGGTCGGGAGGGAGTTCAGCTTCCTGACAGCCTGACAGTCCACGTCAGCTTAATTCAGAATTTACATTTAGAATGCATTATTTTTTTACTTTGTTTGACTGTTATCTTATCTGGATATGGTCTTTGACCCTTCGTCTACTACCTATGACTGCACCCAAGTTGAGTTCAGTGGCTCTTCTGGTTTCCTGTCTGTGAAGATGGGTTCCCATAGACCAGCACAGGGGCATCATGCTGTTTTTTTTCCTTGGCTCACTTGTTGCCCTTGATGAGATAAGAAATGCCTATAGAAAAAAAAAACACTTTTTGCTGTTTTAGATGTTTTTAATGCTTTAGTCTAGTGACACAATCTTTGAGACCAAGGTTAAAATCTAATATATAATGTTCTTATTAATAAACCAAGAAAGACTGCAACTGAACTTGACAGCTAGAGCATTTTATTGTGTGGAAAAGAGCATGTTTGACATAATGATAAGGTTTCATGATAATTGCTTTATTTGTTCCAGGGGGAAAAACGTTTTGAGCAACATAGTGGTGGGAAGATGATTACAGATTTATTGTACATGATCTGTAGATGGAATGATTTTAACCACAGTGTTTTAGTCAAACACTTTTTTTTTTTTACCTAAATCATCCATCTTAATTGAAGATTTTAGAAATTGCATTAAATAAATTAAATTATTAAATTAAAAATAAATAAAATAAAACAAAATTGACTTAAATTTAATAAATAAAAAAATATAAAAAAAATAAAAATAAATAAAATAAATGAAAACAAAATGTAATTATAAAAAGTAAAACAAAAACGAGACTAAATTAAATTAAATTTAAAATATTCCATCTGATCTTTCTGCATAGTTATCCAAAGGCCAGATGGTTGTTGTTGTTGTTGTTTTATTTTGATTTTGTCGGTGGTGTCACTTTGAATGATTTTAGTATTATCTCTATTTATCTCTATATGCATACCATGAATGAAATGGTTACTATTGCATTGAAATGTTTACTATTCACAGCTGGTTTTCTAGCCAATTAATTAAGTTAGATGTGAAATTGTTCTTAGAGTGTGAAGTAGTTCTTAT